CGGTAGCCCATGGCAACCCACTGCCACAGGGTCTGCAGCTACGCCGTCGCCGGCGACTCACAGCAGCCCAGCTCCAGGTTGAGCTGTTGTTCAGCGTCTTAGCTGTGGAGGGCAGTGTCACTGGCCTTCATATGTGGGATCCGAACCGGGGCCCTCTGGCGTCCCAAGCCAGCTCTTAACCAATGCACCACTCGGCCAGCCTTGCCCTTGTCTTTTCACATCTGTCTCTCCTTCCACATTCTCTGGTTACTACCTGTACCCAGGCACTCTCCCACCTCCTTGACTGGACAATTACCAACTCTCCCTCCTCTTCCCTGCTTGTCCTCTACTTTGTCCCAATTTGAACATGAATGTCACATACTCTACTAAAAACTGTCACGAAACAGCCTCTTCCTACCTGCCAGTTTTCACTGTTCACCACTTCCGCATGTCATCCATCCCACTCTGAACTGTACTTTATGCCTCTGCAGAAATTACCCTCTCCCTCATCACCACACACACACACACATACACACATATCACATTCATCTCACCTCTGTGAAGCCCTCTCTAATGCCCTTCCCCTCCTCCAGGCTGTTAGTCACTCCTCCTCAGTTCCCAGCACACCTTGCTTCTTATCTATATTATAGCACTTGTCACCTTGCATTATACCTTGGCTTGTTTTCAGAAACTGTCTCCACAGCCAGAACTCCTTGAGGGCAGAGTTGGTATCTTACTCACTCTTGTGGCCAGTGCTTAGCCTGGTGCCTGACACATAGGAGGTGCCCTGTAGTTGTTTGTTCGATAAACAAATGGTACATTGGGGAATAAGTGAAAAGAATGGAGTCTGAGGTATGTGAAGGAGAGTGGAATGGCAACCCTGGGTGAAGATGGAAAAGTGGGTTGAGCTCTTGAACACTGTGTGGAAGAGCGAGGGCTTCAGTTTAAAGACAGTGAAGAGTCGGGCTGGCCAAGTGGTGCATTGGTTAAGAGCTGGCTTGGGATGCCAGCTCTGAGCAGCAGGGTCCCAGTTTGGATCCCACATGAGGGCCAGTGACACTGTGCCCTCTACAGCTAAGATGGTGAACAACAGCTCAACCTGGAGCTGGGCTGCCATGGGTCGCCGGTGACGGCATAGGCTGCAGCCCCTGCTGCAGTGGGCTGCCGTGAGCTACCATGAGCAGCTGGCAGCCGGCAGCCGGCATGAGCTGCCAAGAGCTGGCGCGAGCAGCCATCCAGTGGCCGGCGATCAATCTGCCTCACCCAGGAAGAGCAGTGATCATACCAACATGGGCCAGTGGGGCGACGTCCTCCATGGCTAGACTGAAGAGCAGAGGGATGGCAACTTGTCTGTTCCACTTCC